GCCTCAGCCCGGCTGCGGCTGGCGATGTCGTCGTACTGAGCCTTGATCTCGGCCACAATGCAGTCCATGTTCAGGTCCCGGCTGTTGTCCATCTTGACGATGACCGAGGTGTCTGAGATGTGGGCGTGGAGAACACGGATCTCCTGCGGGGGGAGGAGTGGGGGAAGAAGCAGAAGCAAGTTATCTGTGCCTTTTGTCACTCGCTGATGCTGATGCCTGTACTTTCTTTGACCTATTTGGAGCCAAAGTCTCCTATGCGGAGCGGATAATCCTCTGATGAAATTGTAGGACTTTATGTACAGTTAAGAAATTCCTTTTAGAGGAAGATGCAACCACTTTTCAAATGCTTGCTTCAGGGACATTTAGGCCCCTGTGAGCCTGGGCTGCTTCCCGCTCTGCCAGAATGCTGTGGATGCTTCCCAGGGCCCAGACCCTGTGTCAGGCCCCATTCACATTCTGCTGGGCCAAGTCTATAAAAGAAGGCTATTGGTTGCCAGAGAAAACAGCTTGAGGCTGTGGGATGCTTTGTGTGGGCTGGCCTGGGGATTGCCCTCTCTTGCCCCTTACTAATCCCGTCCCCTTTTTTTCTCCATTCCTCTGCCTCCCTTCTTCCCTCTCCTTGCTCCCCTGCAACCTTCCAGCCTCAAGCCTGGGTTTCCAAGTCAGCAGGCCTCTGGGGGGCTGGGCAGGGGGTTGGGCATGCCCACCACGGCTGAGAGCTCCCTCACCTCCTCGTACAGGCGTCTCAGGAAGTCGATCTCCTGGATCAGGGCCTCCGAGTTGGCCTCCAGGTCTGACTTGCGGAGGTAAGCGCAGTCCACCTCCTGTGTGGGGTTCAAGGGGCTGTGAGACCAGCTGTCCTCAGGGCGCTCTGAGGGCTTGGCGGCAACGTGGCGGGGCAGTGAGGATGGGGCAGCCAGGGACTCAGGGTGGGGCTGGGCTTCTGACACTCACCTTCTTTAGAGCCACAAACTCGTTCTCCGCTGTGGCCCGAAGTGCTACCTCTTCTTCATACCTGAGGTGGGAGGGAAGAACAGGACGCTGCCTGAGCAGCTCTCAACTTGGCCATGAAGCACGCCTGATTCCTAGACCCTCTCCCTGCTCGTCCCTCCGCCTCCAGAAGACATGGGGCAGGACCAAGAAGAAGTCAGGCTGCCTGTCCAGGCCTGCTGAGATACACTGGAGAACTGAAGTGCCCATGCTCACATCACCTCTGATCTTTTCGGTGGGGATGGGGGGGG